AAACCGCGCGCCCGACTCGACCTGTGTATTATAATTTGCGCGCACAGTTCGGAAACGCCGGAAAATAATTCTACTCCCGCGGCCGATCGCAGTGCGACGAGTAACGAGACCGCAAATGCAAAGTATCTATAAATAATATCATTATTATTATTATACACCTCGTACTATATTATGTTGTTACAATGCAGTTGTGACGCCTTTGGGAATCGTTACGGGGCTCGTTTCGCATCGGCAAAACGCGATAAATTATAAACAGGCGTATAACGTTATTTCGCGGCTTTTGAAGGCCCGCCCCTCGTGGGGGAGAAAAAAATTTCCGACCGGGCCGCGGTCGCCTGTCAAACGGATAGTACACAATTATTGTTATCTGTACGCAATATATTATAATAATAATAATAATACGGTTGCGTTTATGGCCGCGTCCCGGCGCGTTTTCGTACCGTCGGGAGTGCGCGGCGTCGTACACGGAAATGGAATTCTCGTCGCATATCGGCACTCGGCCGCGGGCCGTAACGGTTATAATATTATTCCGGTGGACACGCAGGAAATGAAAACCGCTTTTTTTCCTTTTCCACACTCCGCGCGTCCGATAGCGAAAACCCGTTTACGTCGACGTACGTTTTCGTTAACGTTACGACGTGCGTCTCGACGATTTTCCGCTCGACGTGCACGGTGGATCGTTTTTTTTTTTTATATTCCGAGTGAAACGAAGAAGCTTATGGTTTTACAAAGATGATTATTTTTTTTTTCCGCGGACAACTTTTCTACCAGAGGTTTTGCTCGGTTTTTAAGTGAAGCACCTTTTCTGAAAATAAATCGGTGTAAAAAGATACTTTGAGGAGGTGATTTCCCGATTTTATCATGCGTTTTCTCATTAAATGTGAGAAAACGGTGAAAATCCTAAAAAAAAAAAAAAAAAACGGGATCCATTTTAATTTTGAAATTGGAACAATTGGAATTTTACCCTTATATGACATATATTGTCGACAAAGCAGCACTATCAACTGAACTCCGCTCAGAATCGTTTTTTTCATGAGTAATGGTTTATTTTTGCTTACAGGTGTACATTAAATTACTTATAACAGTGGCTGCATCCGACCCTATTATCCTAGGACGTCTTTTATTTTTTTATTATTTGTAATTTTCACCCGAAAAGTACAAAATCAATAAACAATTATACGACCAGCATACGCGACTAAGTGTTTTGCAGGGGAAAAAATAAACTTCCCCGAGGGGCTAAAGCACCAAAAGAATTATAGACGTTTTGAATTTGAGGATAACGGTAGCGCCCCCGCCTAGACCTTTACAGGATATAAACCGTTTTCTTGTAAATTTATTCCCCAAACGTCAAATCAGGAGTGGAAAACGGTTTTTAGGTTAAAAAATATCGTTTTCATTTAACGTGTTTAAACGTTTGTGAACATTACGTTTTCGATAAATTTTTTTAAAAACGTTATTTTTTAATATCGCTTATGAGAATTTTTCTTTTTATTTTTAATTCTTATACAATAGAAAACGTTTTTGAATCTAAGGTAAAAAAAAAATACACAGTAGATAATAGTATTACACTAAGTAGCTATAAAATTATCTGTAGAATCTGTACAATTTATAAATAGAAACAAAAAAAATACCTAATTAACCCCTTAAAATCAATAAATAACCATAGCTTTACAAATTATCCGCAATTATGTATCAGGATTACAATTTTTTCGGTGGCAGAATCATTATTGGTAGGTATTAATTTTTTTTTTTTATTATCATGGCTTAATAAATTTCCGTTTTCTCTTTTTTATATTTTTGATTTTTAGTATTTCCGATAATCGTTTTTTTTCGTTGTTGAATTTGTTTCATTTTATGTTTTTTTTTTTTTTTTTTTTTTAAACGTTTTCCACCTCTTCCTCAGAAGCAAAAGAAGTTTCATTACAGACACTTTACCGATTTATTCAGAAAAGATAATTATATTATCATGTTACATTGTTGAGTAGGCGTAGAGTGACTTTGGGTCGTCGACTTGTTGGACATTCGTGTTTCAAAAGAGGCTAGCACGATGTGTAATCGATGAGCAAATTAAAAACTCCTTAAAAAGTAAAACAGTAAATTCCCCTACAAATATTTAGCTACTGTGTATACACTTTCCTAAAACGATTTCGCTATATCTACTGTAATCAGAGTGGTTGAGAAATGTCTTCGATACAATTGTATCTTGTATTGTCATACAGTTCTGAAAAGTATCGAAAATCGTATAATTCGATACTGAAATCAATCAAGTATCGATAATATACTACTTTTGAAGCATGTTGCTCGTCCTTTAATACACGAAGGTATAATAATGCCGTAGCCATTTCGTGAAATCTTTTCATGAAAATTCGTATATTTTATTAAAAAGAATCGCCATTTTCACAGTCCGTGAAATACAAAAATATTTCACGATGTGGACACTTTTTCATGAAATGGTCACTCGAATTTGACACCGTTTAATTTTTATCGCTGTATGGTCGACCACTTAGCGTACCGCAATAAAATGTTTTTCCGCGCTCAATTTTATTATTATTGTATTACAACAGTAAAACTCGCGATAAAACGGATTTCAAGGGACCGAGAAATAAGTTCGGCGAATCGAAAGTTCATTACATCAAAATTCGCTATGTCAAAAGCATAAACCAACAGAATTCGTTTTAACGCGATTTAAAGGGAAAATTCAAAACTTAAATCAACATAGTATAAATACACATTTATTTTCATTAAATAATATGTACATGCATATAAATCTAAACGCAGTAAAATCATAATAATATGTACTACGTATGACTAAAATGATTAAATGTATGATAATGTCCGGCAATACGTATGCCAGAAAAACATCGTAATAACCGGCTATATATTTTTATTCTTTTTTTTATTTTTATTAGCTATGTATTTTTCGTCGGGTCATTATACACTATCAGACATTTATCTTATCTTGATCAAAATTAAAAATTCGTAACATCAACCTCCAAAACTGCAAAGGTGGGCAAGTTAATAAAAATAATTAACTCGGGTTAAGTAAGGTTAAGAGAACACTGCAAGATCGATAAGTTCGAAGTTAACAGTTAACAAATCATAAATTTGACTCGATAAGTTAAAATTTAATCGAGGAAAAAATATTAATTTAACTCAGTTTAAAAAAAAGCGCTGATACTGAGGATGGGAGCGGCCATTGTTGTAGGTGAGAAGTTGGGAAGGTAGGATACATAAGGTTAATTTATTTATATCTGTAAGCAAGGATGAACCATTGCTTGACGAAAGACGATTCCGAGTGCAGTTCGGTAATACATAATTTGAAGTGCCGTAATTTTTTTTGCAATTTTCGTTTAAATTTTATTGCAAAACGCTTGTTGAAAAAAAAAAAAGTCGTCCGATAATTTTGGAAATTTTACCACGTCTAGGTAATTCGGATACAAGTATTATTATCAAGTTTCAAGTCTCTATGAGTATTTATAACCTAATTACAGCAAAAAAACACTCCAGAAAATTAAAATTCCTTAAAAGCTCAAAAATGGCTCAAAAGTTTTGGCGATTATACCGTAAGAAAGTAAATCAAAAAAACAACAAAAAAGGTGTCTGTAATTTTTCGATTAAATAATTTTTTCTGATAAAAAACGTCGTCCGTGTTTTTATAAAATAGTGAAATCGTGAAATTGTACGTTTTCCTAGGTTTTTTTCCCACTTTTTATTTAATAAATGGCGTCGAAAATAAAAAAAATTGACATTTAAAATACAATCTAGACAACAGATTTCAAGAGTAGAAACTGAACAAAGATCGTTTGCAACCCTGGAAATATGCATTACCTACTATCTAGTATTATAAATTTTATTTTGACTGAACACGTTGATAAACAACGAACATTAATTTTGCGTGAAACTGTTCATATGTATCAGAAGCTTGTGAAACTAAGCGATGGGCTTGTTACAGCATGAAATGCATCAGCCGTTGTTGACGATTATTGCTTGTCTCAAACAAACAGAGTTTAACAAAATATTACAAATTTTAATTTTTTTTCCTCTTTTTTATTTAAATGACTTAGTTAAATGGTTATTTATAAGACTTTTAAAATATTATAATAATGATGTACGACTAATAAAAAAAATAATAACACTATAATAGTCGATTATACAAAGTGGTCTAACACTAAGCGAAAAAAATATAAAATTCGACTGATTCGAGTGACCATTTCATGAAAAACTCGATTTCACGAAGTGGCTACAACATATACCTATAAACTGATTAAACTCCCTTATAAGATAGTTCGTTGATAATCAATACATTAAATAGAAGATTCAAACGATATCATTCTAGATTCTGAACGGAAAGAGGAATGTATTAGTTTTACAATGATGTTAATTTTTTTTTCTGTGAACAATTTTTCTACCAGAAATTTTACTCCGTTTTTCAAGTGTAGCACTTTTTCTTGAAGAAAATCTGACTGGAATGACACTTGTTCAGGATTTTTCATAATAAATAGGAAAAACCGAGAAAACACTTAGGAAAAGTGAAAATATTTACGAAAAGTATTATTTTCAAATCGTAAATATTACGACTTTTCAAAATATCTTTAACCGAAATCCGCTCAGAATCGTTTTTTTTGTTTTCAATGATTAATTTTTGCGTACGCAGATATACATTAAATTTCTCATCTACCTTTCCAATTTCTCCCCTACAACGGCGGCCCACTCACGCGATTTATTTAATTTATTAAGAAATTATTGGAAATATTGATTTATTAAGAAATAACCCATACGAAATATTATGTCCGTTTGTTTTTGATAAATGGTTTTAATAAAACTGTTCTGTTTCTTATAGTAGAATATGAATGTACATTTAATTTTAATTTTAATCAAATTTTCCCCGAAAATAGAGGCCATTGCAATATTTCATGAATGTACTTATATACCTGTCTTTTCCAGTAGCGTACCTGCGGCGGGACGGTGGCATTCCCTCCCCATGGGCCGTATAATTGAAGCCCGATTCCTGTGACGTGGCACATGAAAACCATTTTTGTAGCTGTAACGTTACATTTTTAAAGAGTGGGTGAAAATATATTTCGTCCTCTCCCCTCGTAAGAAAGGGCTGGTTACGCCACTGGTCTTTTTTCCCTCTACTTCTGGTCTACTTTAAGCTGCTTGCTTTCGACCAAATCAACTCAAACTCGGGATTAAGAGTTCTTTTATAAGCGGCTTAAAGTGTTACAAGTTGGATTGAGTTTCAATACGAATTTCACCATGTTGTCGCGGGAGGAGTGTGTTTTTTCAAGCTTTAAAACTCCTACAAACACCCCGTGGCTAGAAGGAACTTAGTGGGATGACGATTTGTATACGCACGGTGTTAGTATAATGGACTCGTCTTTTGACGGTATAATCTTTTAACTATCACCGCTACAATTTTGTTTTATTTAAATTTTACTATTTTTTTTTTTTTTTTTTTTTGCAAATAATTAGTTTTTATTATTTTTCAAAAAATCTTGTATTATTATTAATATTTAATAGTAGGAATTTTTCGGTTTAATAATGAATTATAAATGATAATATACATAATGTATAATATGTAAATAAAAACGTAGTCTACCGGAGTATTACCGCGAGTTAGGTTGAGTTCAATAATTGCAAGGGACACCAATTTGTTTTGAGTCTCACAGTTTCTGTTTTTTTTTTGTTTTTCCATTTGGTTTACTGTTTATAAAGTATATTTTTATAGCACAAAAAATGCGATGAAAATAATTAGATTTTATACCGACGGAACTCAACTCACCAGCTCGCGGGTATTTTTTTTATCATAAGATTGATGTTGTTTTTTTTTTTTTTTCAATAATTGCAACAAATAATGTTATAATGTATTCGTTTATAGTGCATCGCGGCAACAAGTCGGCAATGCTTTAAATCAGTGTGCAGTGTCAAACGCATTGTGGTTTTTTACCGTTATCGCCTTTTCAATAGCGTTTACACACGCGCAATGACGCCGAACACTGTGTTAAGGTTTTCCAATCCGACTTCTTTTAAAAATTAAGCATAGGGCTGCTTCATTTTAGGCCAAAACTTGGCTGCCAAACCGAATGAACGCTTCGTTAAAATATTAAAAATGCACTCTGATCATAATTTCGCACATACAATGGGCTGTATTTAGATATTGGGGCCTTTTGAAATGCGTTTCGCCCGACTACATTTGTAGAATTTCGGCGCCACTGCACACGGTGTGTTACACAGCAGCGAAATCGTTTTACGAGAACTTGCACGTGCTCGTGCAATCGATAGTACCTATCGATTATTCTGACCCACACGATTATTGCATAGCCCGGACGGGATGTTGTTTCGGTCGAATATACCTACCCAATAATAATAATTACTGTGCTGGGCGAACACGCGAAGAATTACGGATTCGTAAAATTCGGGCGAAGGCGACGCAGTCGAATAATACACGCGTACGGGATCCGTAGCCACGTGAATATTGCCGCGGAAGTATAACGCAGCAACCTACGACGGGGTGAAGAATGTTAAAAAAAAAATTTAAAAAAATATACATGTTTTACGCAATTTTTCGCGCCCTTACCCGCGATTAATTGGTTACGTAACTATACTAGCGTGGAAAAACCCAACGGATTGATTTTTTTTTTCCCTCCCCCGACAAAGGTAATTGGCAATGATCGCACACCTTACCGTACGTACCGCAGTGCCTTGCTGTACTGTACTTATGCGGACTAGACCGACCGATACGTACATAATAATCCACGCTGCGCCCAGCCCATACTAGTCACTGCCCGTCCGCAACGGTGGCCATCAGTACCGTCAGTGGCGTGTCCGGGTTTTTTTTTTCTAACCATTTCAGGTCCGGTCAAACGTCTACTGAAAGCTATAAATAATTTAACGTGTATTCGCCGGGCCCCTCGACGTGAATTGGGTCGATCGCGTTGCAGAGGGGAAAAAAAAAAAAAAAAAAAAAAAAAAAAAAAGGACGGTCGGACATATCGCTTGGACGGCTGTCAAAACGCGCCGCCGCGTTGAACGACGCGATAAATATTCTCCGGTATTATATTCTATTTGATTTATGCGTGAAAATCGCAAGACGTCCGAGTCCAAATCTCGTTAAAACTCATGCGAATACGGACTCGTACGGGTTCGTAGACTTACGAGTCCGTATTATTATCGTTATTTGACATCGAGAACGACGACGACAATCGGTCCGGACGAGCCCCGCCGTCCCGCGTCCACGACAATGTGCGCGCGATTGCCAAATGGGCTTTCTCGTACGTAGACGCAGTTTTTCCATTATCATTGTTCCGTTCGCTTCGACTATGCACGGCCAATTCGAACCGATTACGTGTACCGAGCACGAGAGGACGGCAGTTTTGGGGCGGGACACGGGGTAATAATAATATATTGGATGGTGTCGTATGAGGCGTAACACTCTTGAAAAAAAAAAAATAATAAATAGGAAGCGGTTACATTGGGGAGCGAATGAAGTGTTCAAGTATCAAAGAGCGATAACATTTTACGTTCGATATGTGAGCACCACGTTAGATTTGGTAGTCTATATGATGGCAACGTGCGGGATTGCAGAAAAATATACGCGGGCGGGTTCAGAACCCGCGGACGCCCGGTAATTGTTTAAATTATTTTTCCCCCGGTCTGTCGAAAGTCGAACATTCGCCGATACTCGTGAAGTGGTGGAAACGCGGTATTTGTACGAATGGTTCGGCGGTGGTCGTCGCTTTGCCGCCGAACGACAGTGAAGTTGACACGGAATCAAAGAGATTCTTATCGTCTCTAGGGATAATAATATAATTATTATGGTTGGGTTCACGCAAGCGGCGCGGCGAACATTTGCCATTTTACAGTCCGTTTTTCACGGAACTAGCGACTCCGAAATGACGCTCCCGGCGACGAAATGTCGGTATTCCGCGGTTTCTCACACTTGCGCCACAATACGCGGCGATTTGGAATACTGCACGGTTTTTAAAAAATATATGAATAAAAATAATTATTTTATTTATTATAATATAATAAAATATACATTTTCTTTCTTTGGTATTTTAACATTGGTTGATGGTCGATTGCCGCGTCATTTTTAAATTACCGCGCTTTTTTAGTCACGCGTTTAGGAAACCCTCACGAGAATCTGCCACCGGAAGCGCCACTACGGAGTCGTTAGTTTCGTGAAACGTACTGTAGTTTGGTTAGTCACTGGCCGTACAAATCGACCACCGCCCAAAAATTCCTTTTTTCTCGTTGTGTTTTGTCCTGAATAAATAAATAGGTACCTATAGGTTAATAATAATTGTTAAGTTTGCTAGTCTCACAATAATTGCTCTAAATAATTCTTTTAACGTTGGCAACAAATTCTCATGTACACAGAGCCGTGCTAGGCCATTTGGCGCCCAGGGGCATCCATTTTTAAACGCCCCTCTTTTTGGGTCTTACTTGCAGGGGATGAATTATTGGGTTAATACCCTCCAAATTCGTATTTTATTTTTTTTTTACAACTTTATTAAATTCACATTGATTTATGACGCCATTGATGAACATGATGGCATGCTTATGGTAAATGAGAAAAGAGCCGGTTAGCGTCGAGACGTACGAAAGGGTAGACGAAATAGGATGTAGGCCGTACAGGTAGTCCGTATTTGATCAAACACCCACCATTACGTTTTTCCACCAATGACATCATAGATAGTAAGATAAATATTATTGCATAATAATCGTAGACTTATCTGTAGCAAATTTATTTTTTGTGGCCACAATTATTTAACTATTAACTTAATGTCATCGATACTTTCAATACTTATCAGTTATAGTACCTACCTACTAAGTATTTTTTACAAAATCACCTACCATGTCTCTCCTCACTTCAGTTGGCAAACAAATATTCCTTCAATTTTACAATCAATTGTAAATTTACGATCAATTAAAACACAGCCAGTTTCCAATATTTCCACTACATGGTACCACACAAAATATTTACCTACTATGTTTGACATGTAAAGAGGGAAAATCTTTAAATGTGACACAATGAATGAAGTTCTTCTTGGTCGGAGGGAGTTAAGCATTATATATTATCAACGACCTACGTGTCTACACGCCATATTATGTCTTTTATTGATTCTTTTTATATTAATTCAACCTTTACCTATGAACATTTTTGGGCATAGATTTCAAGATAAACTCCACAAAATATTTTATAGTCTTTATGCATTTAATTAAGATTAACCATATTAAAATGTAAATAACTATTACATGTTTATATAACACGAGACAAACACTTCATTATATCCCTTTTTATGCCGCCAAAACAACAATTAAAAATTATCAACAATTGGTTACACATTAAAAATTTGACTATGATAAATTCCAGTCATAATATTCTCTACAAAATTAAATCAAAACTAAAAATATTATCATTTGGAAAGTGTCTTATATATTTATCAGATTATTTATAGAGATGTTACAAACCTAGATTTTTAAAGTCAAACCAAACCATACCAAACTTTCCTTAAAATTAACCAACCCGAACCGAATTGACACATTTTTATTCAAACCGAACTACACTTTTAAAATATTTTATCGAACTCGAACTCAAAGATTAATAAAAAAACTAAAAGGGTTAGGTTAGGTCAAAATCTAGGTTCTCAAACTGCTCGGCTTTGTAATTTAAAATTATGAGACCCACTAATGCGAAAAAAATATCATTTTTCCTTTTCATAACAAGGTCGTTTTGTTCCACCACAGAAAATCCTATTGGTGACCGTGCAGAATTGGCATCTAATGGATTTTGTAACCAAACTATTGGATGTTTGGTTTGGTTCGATTATTTATAATTTCCAGTCTAAAAATGAAACGGTTCATCAAATCACTAATTACTTAGTGGCCATTTTTATGTACATTTAAAATTATAAAATTAATATTAATTTTTAAATAACAGATTTAAAAAACATATTTTTTAGTATAATTAAAAAATCAGCTTCATTATATTCCTAATTCGTATGGATTAATATATAAATAAATTATAATAATCATATTGCAATTCAAATATTCGGCCAAAGTTCCATCAAGAAATATTCACCAAAATCCTTAAAATATTCTGTAATTGAGTTTGCAGAAATTAAAGGACAATAAGTAAGGCAAGACTTACGACATTTTTGCAAGAAAGGTCATTACAAAAAAAAAACCACCAACAGTATATTGTTATAATAATAATATTATTATCTAATTTCGATTCAAAAAAATCTAATGCACTAAACCAAACATTATAATATATACGAAAATTACAATAATATTAACTTTATAAATTTAAACAACATATTAAAACACCGTGGATAGCTGATAGCTGATAAGAGTAACTAATAATAATGACAAAACAGTCAAATAATAGTATTAAAAACAAATTTTGATATACATTATGGACAAAAAAAAAAACTCTGTAATAATAATATTCTATTTACGAAAAAAAAAAAAAATAATAATAATAAAAAATAAATTAACATTAACAGTATTGGTTAGTATTTAAGAATATAATATACGAAACAATTTTAATGAGATAAGTGTATTCGACTTCTCTACAGCTGCACAAATATTATTTAGCCTACATTCATCATCACAAAGTCACTATACAACATAGCTCCCTAAACATTCTACAGTACAATATTTTATTATATTATATTATATTATTAATATTTGCCGTTCGATTCCAACACAATATTGATATATATATATATATATTTGGTAAAAATATTAGATGGTATAAATACTTTAATATTGAGATAAACATATTTATAATTACCCTTCAACTAGTATAATGTTATAATAAATGTATTATCTCTTAACGAAACAGTTGGCAGAAAAAAATATTTATCAGTTTGTTCATAGAAAAAAAAAAATGTATTAAATAAACACAAAGAGCACTAATGTTCAGAGAACATGATAATTCTATTCAAAAAAGTCAACAACAAGCAACATTACAATTCAGCATTTTTAACATACAGAAAGGAATGTACGTCGCTAATTTTAAAATATTACAAAATACTAGATGATAAAAACGATATTTTTTTATAACAAACTTATACACTAAAAAAAAGTGTCAACTGTCAAATCTAAATCATTTTTATATAAGATTTTCAATGGTTAAATATCATATTTTAACAAAACAACAAATGTAAACACGCTGTGCCAAAAAAGAAAAAGAAAAAATAGTACCATAATATTATGTAAGTCTCCTTTACCTGACAAGTTGGTTGCGTAAGGAATGCAAATATATACAAATATTAACGTTACACTTTTTTTTCTTTTTGTTTCTACAAGAGTCAATTCATAAATTAAGGAATTTAAAAACAAATACTTATATTGTAACTTTTAACACAAGTCCGGAGCACCATCAACCAACTTCTTAATACGCAATAATATGGTCGTGTACCACTGGTCCAATCGTGATATGGAATCATAGTCTTTAACTGCTTCTGTAAAACCATCAGCATTTTGTTCTTGAATATGATTCAATAACACCTGGAAAAAATAAATACATTTCATTTATACTTGATTCTTATTTATAAAAATAAAAATCACAAATACAGAAAATACTTATTAGTTGATTAAAACTTTAACAAATTGGAAAATTAGTATTATAATTGTTTCATATTAATATTGTATACGTTAAAAGACCCCTTGAAACTTGTATTGTTAGCTTTATTAATGTTATGCAAAATTTTAACGACAAACAACATAATATTATGAGTAACATTTTATAAACATATTGGTTACCAACAAATCTATGAAAACGGTAGGTAATCAATTTATTACTGATGAGTAAAAACTGGAATTACATTATATTATGCATACACATAAGAATATTCATACTGATTGACATTTCGCACTTTGATTGAAATGCGGACATTTCAAATCAAACTGATTTCATAGACCATATTTTATTTTGCATGTTGACGGGTTAAGCTTGATAGACATACTTTGGTATACATTTTTTCACGCACTTAGTATTCACTCATTTGAAGAAACTATTTTCTCCTTATGAAATCTGATAGTTAACAATCCAATTAAGATTTGATATGTTGATTATCTTGGAATTTCATTTGAAAAACAAAAATAATAGATATTTTTTTTAATTTGAGAAAATAATTATTTTTGTCTAATATAGTTCCATATTTGCAACACTGTATTAATAACAGTTAATAAAACAAAAATCAAATAAAAGAAATAATTGCATGGCTGATACTGTACTTTTTACTATGTCTTTACAGAAAACATTACTTATATTATAAGTTGTTATCAATATTTTTGAATTGATATTAGATATGTATACTTTTATTAATTGAATTATTTGCTTGTGTTTTACTTAAGTTTTTATTTATTTTATTACGTAGATATTTCCACAACATAACCTATTTAAAAATAGATACAGTGTGTTGCATACATTTGAACAATTGATTTCTTCATTTCTGGTTTTTTTTTTTTAACTGGTACAGATTTTTCAATGCACAAAAGTGCATATTTTGTTATTTTTATTCATCATATTTAAAACTTTTAGTGTATATTCATGGTTTCTATTGATGATATTATTATTGAATGATTAAATGTTTGTTATGTTTAGAAGAACAATATTTAACAAAAGTAAAAACACTAAACAAAAATATTACCTCACAAAGTTTCAAATCCTTAAAAACGTAATTCAATATTATTTTTATTTTCTATTCACCTGTAATAATTTGTATTCTCTGCTGTCTTGGAATGCTGGATATTGCTCAACATAGCGATTCATGGCCAGCTGAGCATTGAGCACATCAACACACAGATGACATAAAGCCGCTCTGAAGTAATATTCTTTAGCGCTGTACTTTAAAAGAGAACTGTCCAATGATGTTCCAGCAACCTATAGCAAAAATAATATTGCATTAGTTTTCACCGAAAGAAATACATTTTCTTCATTTGAATAATACCTCTTCGTATATCTGAATGGCTCTTCCATACTGTTCAAGTTGTGCAGCATACTGAGCCACTTTGAGTTTGCATTTGTTTGCCGAACTCTTGCTTTCTTCAGCCATAAAGTAATCTGCAGCCTTTTCGTAGTTATTTATAGAACGTTCATGGTCAACAGCTTCATTCTCGTACATTTCCGCTATGTTTTGATGTTGTTTAGCGGCCATTGTGAAACGACCCATATCCGTATAGATGTCAATAGCCTTTTCCAGACACTGTGCAGCCTCTATGACATAATAAAATGTAAACAATTTAATATTAAATAGATGAAATAAACTTAAGAAATAAAATAGACGAAAACAATGGAAATGTGATAAAAGATCATGCCCATTTAGCCATTTCTGTTAATAAATAAAAAATAATATTTTATTACCTACTCACATAAATTTGGTAAAACAAACTCTACTAAGAGCATGTTATACCCCCATATGCTGTCTCTGACTTAATAACATGTGGAATGTGAAATTATGTTACTTAAAACAAAAATGATGGTATTTAAGTCGAAATTACAGTTTAAACAAAAATAACAAAATTTAAACAGGATTAAAATATTTTTGGGAATGCACAGCTTTTTTCTAAAAAAAATTAAAAAACTAATATAGTTGTAATTCTTTTATATAATAGATTTTAAGAAAAAAGCCCTTAAAAATATATTCCCCTTTAAATTGTATTATTTTTGTTTAAACTACAATTTTAACATTAAAACTATAATTTATGTTCAAAGTTACTTAATTTATTGTGCTAAGTTGCACATTAGTAAGATGAAGACAGTGAAACGTGGTGTGATGTCCTCTTCAATTAAAAAAAAACAAGTACAATTTTAATTGTAAAATTAAAATTTATATTAGCAATTAAATTAAATGTTTTCCAATAATAATAGATTAAAGATTATTAATAAAATAATTTGAAACATTATACACACAAATTTAAATGTTTAATTTATTTTATGGAAAAGAGGTTATTATAACACATACCATTTGGATCGGTTTTTTTAAAGCAATTTGCAGAGTCTACGTAATTTGTAGCAGCATCGTGTTTACGGCCCGATTTGAAGTTGAGATCAGCGGCCATACAAAATGCTCTGCCTGCTTGGGGCCATTTTTTCGCCATTTTGAATAAATTAGCAGCATGCTGATAGCAATCGATTGCATCTTCTACCTTAGAAACACTCCTAAAAAAATCCATAATGTTATATAAACTTTTTATAAATAGTAGGTACTTAATAAAACCATTCAATAATCATATTTTAGTCATGCAAAATAAATTTTTAAAAATATTACTGTATTGTACATACTGTGTAAAAAATGTTTGAATTTTTCTACAGATGGTAAAAAAAAAAAAAAAATAGTAAATATAATGTAGGTACTTATATTAAACACACATATAGTATAATTATATACAATTTGTATATAATTCGGAAAACAGACCAAAAGTTATTTTGAAAAAAAAAAAAATTGTATTTTCCACAAGAAAAAATATGTAAGGTATACAAGATTTTAATAGTTTGTGTAAAAAGAACATAAATACCCTGCTAAGTACTTTAAATTTGTTAATTCAACACTTTAAAGAAAATTTAATAAGATACATACTTAAAATATCGATTAACAATAATATTTGTAAAGTATAATATGTAATAAAATAAATCTTAAATTCCCAAACAGAAAAATTATAGAATAATCATATGGATTTAAATATTCTGATATTATATTATAATAAAAATACATTGTTTCAATTACTACCTAAAAATAATAAAATGAAAATAAATGAATGTTATTTTAAACAATTTCAAGCTTATACAGTTGTCTAGTCCAACAGTAGTCAAACGATAGATCACGGGCAGGTTTAAATGTCGTTCTTTCTTTATTAGAATTTATTTTTATAATAATTAGCAAAAAATGAAAAATCACAATTTTTGATCATTTCATCTTAATAATATCATTTTGTTGTCAATTTATCAAGTGATACAATTCAATTATTAATTCAATAGAGTTCATACTGGCAATTGTATTTACAATATCAGTCTTAAAGTGAGATGAAAAACTACATATTTTTGTTTTCTTATTAATGCTTATTAGGTAATTTATAATTTGACATTTTTATTAGAACGTTGATCGTTAAAAGAAGAAAATATATTCTTAGTAGATCTCTACCACAAAAAGTTGTGGTAATATAAAATATACTAGACCAATGGTCAGTATATTTTCAGTTATTTTGAATGGGCTATAATAATTTTTTTTTTTTTGTTTTTTGTTAATTATTGTTTTATTTATGTATTTATCATACAATCAGTAACATAATTTGTAGTAATTTTTTTTTTTTTTTTTATAAATAGCTAGTATTAGAATAAGTGTTAGGTAATTAAAGTCTCACGTGACAATGCATATTGAAGTATAACTTTATTATTACCTATTCAAAAATACGTATAGTTTAAAAAAGCAGAAAAGGTGGAAAAATTGAGCTATATAAATTTCAGTCTCCACACCTCTTATCTAAATTTTAAAAAATGCATAATACATTATCGATGGGGCAATATTCAATAACAATGTTATACTAACATAATACTAAGCAAACAAATACTGTGCTTCTGAATTAATTAAAATTACAAAACTAAATATGTACCTACCTACATAATATAAACCACAAACATTTATGAAGCAACTGAATGTTAACAAACTTAGAAAAAAAAAAAAAAAAACAGTCGTGTGTTTAACAGTATTTGCAATGGTATCTACTTAGACATTTTAAAAAAAATGATTAAAGTTTTTAAATTTTTGTTAGGTATACACCGGACAAAAATAAATGAATGGCTATATTAATATTTTATAAATAAACCGAAAAAAATTTAATCTGGTTAGGTTTTAATAACAACTAAATCAATTTGAATTGAACAATTATCATACTATGATACAAGTATGTTAACAAGTATGCGATGATGTCACCCCAAGTAAACGTTCAATAGTAATTGTAAGTATTTTCAGAAGCACACTGGTATATAATTATTGTTTTAATATCGTACAACTTAGGGTTATTACATAATTGCCGTTTTTATTACCTGGGTAGGTAAATTTTATAGATTTAAAATGTATGGATACCTAAGTGGGTAATATATTATTATGTAGGTATTGGCCATATATAAAAATAGTTTGATATATAATAATAATATATTGATAACCCATACATATTTCTATTAGATAATTCTTAATCACTTAATTATGTTTCTAATAGTGTACGCAACTGTCAATATTTGTAGAATTATCGAAATAAGAGCACAAATATATCGTTTTTTGTTTGGATGGTAATTCGATAAAATGTGAAAATCAAACAGACATAATATTTAAATTTAATTCTAAAATCGGCAGTATTTTATTCGAGATTTCATATGTAAAAAAATTTTAAAATAAAAGTTTTAAATTCACGTTATACTACCTACTACCTAACAATAATTTGTGAATAGTTAAAATATTAACCAGACCGTTCGGCGAACGTAAACCCCCTGAACCTGAATTCGTCGACAATCTACAAAATATATGAATTAAGTACCTTAGTTTGGATAATCTCTGTACGAGGTCAGTAAGTGCACCACATTTGTTAATAAAATCTAAAAGGCAATTGAGAAAACCTGCATTAAGGGTGGAAAGTTGAGTGCGAGATTTTAAGTATACAGTGTTTGCCGTCACTGGGTTTCACCCCTCGCGGCACACTTTCGAAAACGGGTTCGACCGTGGTGCGCCACCTAACCCCACCCACGGCGCCACTCGACTCGAGTAAAATCGTGGGTTACGAGACGAGAATATTGAAATACCTAACAACAATTTAATAAAATGTTTTTATTCGCTTACCCGAACAACGATGAGAAAAATCCTTTGGACGAGTTGAGTTTCTTGTCCGCTTCGGACAGCAGTGCCATGGCTTTTTCTTCGTTGCTGGCCATGTCGAATGTCAAGTATCGTCTCAAAACTAGTTCCTCAGTAGGTTTGTGTTTTCTCCAGAGCAGCTGCTGTGACCCACAGAGAAAATGAAACGGTTGGCTTGTGATGCAATTTCCGACCGCGTAATAGTAAACAGAACAATAATCGCTTTGTGGCTAATATAGGCAAAATAATAAATTTACCCAGCTATCCAAAAATATTGATAAAATGATTATATTGCAACGTCACGAGAGAGCGCTGCTACTGATACGGCCATAGAGATTGCAACGTTGCCGAACAACCGTAGCGTCTTAAGAACAGCAACATTGCGTTCACAAATAGAATGTTGTTTACCACCCTTATCACGTATCACGTCATATTATCACGATCGTGTTATAACGTCGAAATAGTCAGATTTTCTCGTGATTCTCTCAGAATTGCCCGTGACGACAGTCGTGACGAGTACAATTCTACTGTACTTTTTAATTTAAATTTTTTATATTAAAGTATTATAGTTCTGTAGTCTGTACTTGTCCGTCTGCCGTCATGAGCAGCAATAACACCAACTTGGAGAAACAGGACATCCTGCAAGCCGTGGTCGTGGCCAGTTTCTTCCACAAGAATTTCTGGCCCGCTGTCGACAAAGACCACTCGTGTTTCGTGCCGCTAGTCAACAAGCCGTTACTTTACTATGCGCTCAACATGCTCGACTCGTCTGACATCACGGAAGTGGTAATATTCTGTTCCAGCAGTACCGCTGACCGGACGAAATCGTTTGTCCGCGACACGCCAGGTTTTCATCGGCTAAATGTCATCTACACCAGTTCCGACACTTGTCGGTCGTTTGGTGATGTCATCCGGCACTTAGACTCTTGCGCTCTGATTAGAAATGATTTTGTCTTGCTCTGGGGCAACGTAGTCGGCAAACTTTCGTTGTTACCGCTCGTGAAAAGCTTCAAAGACCTGCGGAAAAAGGACAAAGGTGCCGTGATGACGCTCGTTTACCAACAGGGCGATGCAGACACAGGCCAGACCCTGGTATTAAGCTCCCAGACTAATAGGATACTTTTCCACAATAAGAAAAAAGGCAAGATTAACTTGCCGTTGGAACTGGTGCTCAACGAATCCGTTAAAATAAGACGAGATCTGAACGAAACCAACATCGCCATTTGTTCCACGGCCGTCCCTCCGTTATTTGCTGACAATTTTGATTTTCAGACTAAAGACGACTTTATTAAGGGATTACTAATCAACGAAGAAATCTTAAACAGTACACTGTATGTTCATGTGGTGCAAGACGGTTACGTTAATGAAGTTTTCGACTGGCCATCGTACCAAAAAGTCACTCACGACATATTGCACCGATGGACTTATCCTCAAGTTCCAGAAATTATAGGAAAATATAGTTTGAGATACGGCAACATCTATTTTGGAGATAACTTAAAGCTAGCTTTAACCTGTGATGTTGGTAATGATACAGTAATAGGATCAGATTCAAAATTAGGTAATGGAACGCGTATACTAAAAAGTGTTATAGGAAAAAATTGTACGATCAGTGATAATGTAACTATCGAAAACTCTTACCTGTTTGATGGTGTTACCATAAAAAATAATTGTGTCATAAAATTTTCAGTGATCGGAGAAAACTGTACGATTAAAGAAAAAAGTGAAATATCGGACAGTTGTATTCTCGGTAGTGGTGTCCTAATCGAACCAAACACAGTTTTACAACAACATCGTATACATAGTTCCAACTTGAATAATAAAATGAAAAAGTTGAATTCTAAAGCATTTATATACAATGTTGAAAATGATTCAGATTCGGACGAGGAACAAGAAGTAAACGGCTTAACATATCGTAAAAGATCCTTGACAGTTAGCAGTTGCTCTTCATCCGATGATGACAATTCATCAATTGCAGCGTCTATTCCTGACGATACATGTATGTTTTACTCTGAAGTTGTGGATTCATTGATAAGAGGATTTGAAGATCATGTACACTGTGATAACTTAATATTAGAAATCAATTCTTCACGTTATGCTTACAATATAAATTATAGAGAAGCCAATTTTCATATGATTAGAGCTATGTTAACGTTAAACAGTAAAGCTGAACTCGAAGCTTTAAATCAGGTTCGATATTACACACAACTGCTGTCCAAACTTGACTACTTTCTGCCAGTACTAAAAAACTATATAAAAAATATAGATTCGTGTGAAGACTGTTTATCAGCCATTGAAGACGTTGCCAAAGGTGAAGAATTGCTTAACACTGTTGTAGTCAAAGTGATACATCATTTGTATGATGTTAACATACTTAGCGAAGAATCCATTCTTAAATGGCACAAGAAGGAAGAAGACACATCACAGTTTGCAAAAAACATAAGACAAAAGACTAACAAACTGATAGAATGGTTAAAAGAAGCTGAAGAAGAAGAATCGGAATCCGATGAAGACGATAGTTCTTAATTTTTGTAAAAAGAAAAAAAATTATGTAATAAATTGTGTACATTTGTTAAACATAATATATATATTTATATATAAATATATTTACAAAAAAAAAAAATAATATGGATCTTATTATTCATTCCTAATACAAGAAATCCAATAAGATACATCTATTAAGTAGTAATATAAAACAATAAAAATAAAATTTTGTTATAGGTCTTCAATAACAATTGATATTTACAAATAACATGGGTAACTTAAAAATCTAATATGGCTTAACAAAATGTGAAAATAAAATTAATAAAGTTTTTTCTTTATCCAAATACTATATAAAAAAAAAAAAAAAAACATTTGACAATAAATTCAATAAGGACATAATCATAGTGGTTATGTGATGCATCATTTAAATAAATAAAATTGGGTTGAAAAAATAAAAACAGTAACTGTGTGTTTTGAGAACGATGGAATAATATTATACACTTTTTTTTTTTTTATCTTATCACATCAAAGTCCAAAAAGTAGTATTTGCAAATATAAATATCAATACAAAATGAAAATATGTATCTTGATGTCAACAACTAATTAATAATAGTACTTAATAAAATTGATTATAAAGTAAAAATAATAATAATTTTAGTCTTTTATAATTAATGGTACATGGTGGGATAGAGGAGAGAAAGAAATATGCTTGTATGTCATCATTCAAAAAGGTGGGACATGGTGAACATGACAATAATGCCAACTAATATCAACGTGAACTGTTTGATTGATTCCCTTGGGTTCTCTTCGAGTAAAAGCTCAGGTAATACAGTAACCAAGGATATATGAAGAAAGCCACCAGCAGTGAATGGCATAATCCAAGATGTCTTTGCCTCTGAAAATAAAAGTATTTTTTTTGTTTTCAAAATTAATTCTTTGACACACACATATATATGAAAACAGAGTTATAAATTATAATAAAAAAATATATATACTGTTTTATAGAAAAAAAAATATTTTTTAACAAATAAAAAGAAATAATAAGTTTGATTACCATTCTTAAATGAGATCAATACAAAATTTGTTTTCTGTCTGTCTCTAGCGTAATATAGCAATAAAGACATTTCACACTTCAGTGATGGAGACTAGTTAAGCTTATGAATATGGCAAACAGACCAACATACATTTTATAAAGAAGAGTATTGGCTATCCCTTAACAGAGTTACTTTTTTTATATTTTAATTTCTTATTGAGTTATTAATGATTAAAATTAAGAGAAATCAAGTAAAATTAAAACATGATAAAAATGTTAACCATTAATAACTTGTTAAAAAATGGAAATTCTAAAAAAATCATTCGATCAGGGCATCTTCTTTATAAAATGTATTATAGATTTCATAACCCTAAACTAAACCCAATAGTTATAATTAATATTAAAATGCAAAGTGCCCTTTGTTTCTATATTACGTGTGTGACAGACAGAAAACACATTTTGAGTAGAGGTCTTATAAAGTACTCCCTCAACTTTTACTAAGTAAGGCATACTGTCAATAATTAAGTTAGGTTTCTTTTTGTAGTGTTTATCATGAAACAGTAAATAATTAAGAGTGCCAAAATATACAAAGTGTATACGTGTAATATACGTGTTTATCCTTGTCAATAACTTTGTAATCATCTGATTTTTTTGGCAAATTTATAACAGTAGGTATACTTTATCAATGTCATTTTCATAATATTTGTTCACATACGGTACTAAAATTACCAAACGGCAACCTATAGTCTGACAAAATAACCAATTTGATAAACTAATTTAGATTACAAGAGTATAGAAGAACAATGAGCCATTAAATTTGAAATGTATACCCTAACAGTTTATTTGACTTTTAACTATTGTTACGTATTGAATTCGTCAAATAAATTAAACAAAAATATAAGTAGGTTAAAAATCAAAAAAGGATGTTTTATTAAAAAAAATTATCAAAAAAAAAATTAAGTTTATAATTAACTAAAATAAAATGAGGTAATAAGGTATAGGTAATTTTAAAGAAATAAGACACATACCCACGTCATCAGTAACTCCACTAAAGTAAATAGCCGTTAGTGCTCCAAATATGGCACCAGATGCTGTATATACTTGAGCACAAGCAGCCTGCCAACGATTAAACCCGGACTTCAAAAGAATAGCAAAATCACCAACTTCGTGTGGGATTTCATGGACTAAAAAAAATAATTTGAATTTATACTAAACAGATAAAAATAATTACAGTAAAACTTCCGTTAACGATCACCTGTGTGTAGCGGTAATTTTTTTTGGTCCTGTCAAGTGTTATGCCTCTATAGGAAACCTATAGCGGTCATTATTTCTGGTCCCTTCAGTGACATTACATGGAAGTTTTACTATATAATAACAATTACACACATTACCTAATATAGCTATTGTAGTAACGAAACCGACTCTTGGAGATATTAAAAAACTACCTCCCACCGCTAAACCATGAGTGAAATTGTCAATGCAATTAGCAAACAAATTTAAATAGCCGCTAATCTGAAATATTATATATATAATAAATATTAATTTAAAAACAAAAAGTATTTTAGTAAGTAACTCACTTGAATATGATGGTCCTTTTTACCCGAAATACTATTATCGCATTCAGATTCTTTTTTCAAGTCTTTATGATTATTATTGACAGAATTTATGTTGGTATAGACAGCTTTAATGTCAACAATTTCATCGTCATTTGATGAAGAGAACAATTTCTCAACGACAATGAACACTAATAAACCTGCTAACACCCACCAACCATCCCGGATCCAGTTTCCATGTCTATCTTTAATAAAAAAAGAATAAACAAATAGGATGTCATTAATGGATAATAACAATAAACAGATATTATGTTACATACCCTTAGAAGCCATCCACACTTCAGGCAGAACGTGCAAAAATACATCGCCCAACATACCACCAACAGAAAAACTCAACAATAAACGTAAATGTTTACTTCCAGCTAAAAAACAAAATAAAACATAATTAGGTAATTAATATTGAATAGCAATAATTATAAATTAAACAGAGAAACAGTGAAAAAATCTAAATAAAGATCATATAATATACATGAAGATAATTTTTATTAAATCTAGAATAGTGTGTTGTTAATTAATATCATAATGTTTATGATGAATTGAAAATAATTTATCAATAGATAAATTTTTTCCTGTTTATTTATAATCGTTTTATTCACTGGCAAACCATCTAAACCATTTTAACACCAGAAATTAAACAAATCAATTTCAAATCGAAAATACTTCTATATTCATCATTAACTCATTAGTGTTAATTTAGTTTATAAAAAATATATTATTTTTAAATTCACATGTTTAAACCAATGTTGTACAAATTTATATTAGCATTTCAAATTAGTAAAATATAAGTCACTACATTTTGTACAACTAATTAATATTTGCTAATCATGTGATTAAAATTACTAGCATGATTTAATATTTAGTTAATAAATAAAACATAAGCAAAATAATTAACAAAACTAATATTGTTTTTTTTTTTTTTAATGAGCATAAATTTGAACACCTTGTTAACACAGCTATAGTTTGTTGAATTTATCAATTTGTAATTTACGTTAATATAAAGTTATGATAGCAAAACTATAATAACAGTTAAAATACTATGGTATTTAAACAATAATCAATTGAAATGCTTAATTGAAAATTGACAATAAATTGAGACTGAACAAAAAACGTTTTATTTTTAATATAATTTTGTAGAAATGTATTATTGTCTTGTCAATAATATGGACACAGCAAATGAAAAAAACTCGTAATCGTGAAACAGTATAATTCAATATATATTGTTTTTCCATAAATGTTGAATGTTAATTTTTAAATTAAAACTAGATATTAAAGTACATAATAAATAATATTTCAAGTGTTTAAAATGTAACGAGATATTTATTTTGTTCAAATTTAGGATTCAAATGTATATAATATACTTGTATAGGAATAACCAAAATAATAATAACTTTGGAACTTTCTGTTACAGTTATAAATTTAGCAACAATTTACAAATTTGTTATACATTTTAAAATGAAAATACCTAATTGGATAAATTATAAACTAGAACACACTTATGCTTTCCTAATATTGATAATTTGTCTCGCGTGTTATTTGAATATTTTGGTATTGTTGTGTAGTAATTTTTTAAATTTTTTGTCAATCATATCTGTACAATGTATACTGTACACTAGTTGCGTTTATTGGGCTTTGTATCCATTGTGTATAAATACACACCTAACCTAAACAATATGCATTTTATACAAATAAAAATCAATTTAGAGGTACATGAGAAACGTAAATATCAATATAAAACCTAATCACCACATTTTCAGGTATAATAATATTTATCATATTATGTAAATATATATATATTTTTTATTTTCGACAAAATAATTAATATGCATCAGTAAGACATGAAACAACACAATTTTCTTGCTCAATCGATTTCTTTACGCTCGTTTTAATTCTATAGCTGAATGCACATATTATTGAGTAATATTAAATGTCTAAATATTATCGTTCATCTATGACACTGTCAAAAACGATAATAACTAATGATGCAAAATTCTAGGTCAAAATAAATAATTTGTTAATTTACCTTTCATCTTGACTTATTTAGGTATCAAAAAAAATTATATTTTCAATATTATACTATTTTCTCGATTTAAATAGTATATTTAATAGATTGTGCTTTATATTTGTAAACATTTCTGTGTTCATACAAATTGTATAGCCATACTGATAATGATAATAATACAATCTATTAAATACTCAATAAAAATGATAGCAAATATATCAGTTATCTTTATTTATTGTAACCTATTGACTATTTTAGTTTAATCTAACTTAATATTTCTCACTATAAACAAATATTTATATTTAAAATATAATATCATATTATACTGAACAGAAAATTAATTAACATACAAATTAATAAATTTAAAAAAAAAAATAATTTTTTGAACTATTTTAAATTTTTATTCTTTATCTGTAAAACATCTTATATTTTTTAACATATCAAACCAAGTAAAAGTTTATAATATCTAATGTAATAGGTACTTCTTAACTACAATGTACCTAACAAAAATAATTGACCTGAAAGTATAAAATACAGGATGTATATTTTAATTGAAAGTGTATCTAATTGTATAAATACAGTCGAATCTAAAGACATGCACAACTGTCAATCATATTATTCGTTCAAGGCCGACCAGAGGGACTTAATGCTAAATTTATTTCTAAGGTCATAATAGAAGTTTTTCTTTGTTCAACCACAGCGTTATTTATGTGTGTACTTACATAGAAAATATAATAAATAAATGGCGGGTAATGATAGAATGTTTAATCAAAAAAACAAATATGAAAATTTAAAAATATATGCAATAATATTAAGAGATAAACTAATCACTTACTACACCAGAACCTATGCACCATATAATAAAATTATTGAATTATAATAGGCAAATAGTTAACATATGACTTATCATGACAAATGTTATAAACAAATATGATTGAACTAAATGGCAGATCAACATGTATGTAAATACAATTTTCATTTGAAATATCAAAAGAATAAAACCACAATGGTATTATTTATAAGTAAGTACCTAGTCAGTTAATCAAGAATACCTGTATAAAGATTGGCCTAGAAACAAGAAAGTGTAAAACATAATATCTTTAAAAAATGCCACAGTAATGAATGATAATGTACTATTTTAAATACCAATATTCACATAGATATGTAGGTACTGAAGTGATTTTCTGTGTCATTATAATCCATGTCAGGTGTTCAACAAACAATTAAATAGGTACCTATAATTATACAATTTTAGAACCCTTTAACAATAATTATTAGTATTAAAAGTACCTAGGAAATTAAATTTTATTTTGGAAGCGAACATTACAGTAAAGAACCTACAAAATTGCTTATTTTATTTGTAAAAAATCTTAAAACATTTCAATAAACTAGTATTAGGTATTTAAATTGTGACTTTTAAGATATCTATTCATTTGAATCAAATTTTTGACTATAATAAACACACTCGAATATGCAAGTAAGTATTACGTCGAATTATATTAAATACCAAACAATAGTTGTTTTTATAACATGACAAAGTAATAAATTTGTAGTAGGTACTCACGTCCAGTTTTCAAAGATATTGTGTCATCAACTGGCAATATGAGCAGTGGAAAAAGTCCGCTTAAGCCCACGATTATGGAACCCATCACAGACAAGATAACCGGCTGATATTGGGCGGACATAATTATGGTGGCGACTGTGTCCATGATATTCGAATAGCAATCGCTGATTAATGCGTGACTAAACAATGTAGAATTCTGGATGTCGTACACTACAGGTGCAGTGTTTATGTGATATGAACTCATTTTACACGACAGTATTAATTATCGTGTACTTGGTTGTATTTCTAATGGATGGTGATCTTTGCCAGAGCGTACGTCCAAGACTGCTGCGAATGCTTCTGACACCGCACAGCAATCTCAACGACAGCGAATAGGATGTGGCCTTTTTTTTTATCTGCTCACTTCACCTAAAAACTGATTGGGGAAAAAAAATTAATCAAACAAATGGAAAATAAAATAATTAAAAAAAAAAAAAAACACAATAAATTAATAGTGAGAGGACAGCTTGCCGCACACAATGCATTAACAACTCGGTATAGGTACTAATCAAAAACGCAAATAAATTATTATTTATAATCTCGCGTATAGTTGTAGTGGAGTGCACGACAAGTGCGCGAGGCGTATTATTAATTAATCTCGTAATGTTTATATTATATTATTATTAGGTAGAATAAAACACTTTTCGTACCGATTCTCGTCCGGCTAATTATTATATTAATATTGACGACGTTATCTCGCCGCCGCCGCCGCCGCCGCCACAACAACAATAACGCAGCAGCACTCGAATCAGTCGAATCGAATCTGCAGCAGGTAATCCGTGTTCGGCGCCTTCGAAACAGATTCGCATTTCACCGAAGAGGACTTTATTCTCTATACGGATTGGCGGGAAACTACGGCGCACCGGATAATGAACAACACACGGTCACTGTGACTGGGTTCTTCTTCTGCTATTGGTGTTTTCCGCCGATCGGGACTTCGAGTTTTCGCGTCAGCGACGAACAAATACAAAGGACGACGGCGCAGAAACCCGTGAATACGGAAATTGACGAACGAGCAGAACGTACACAGACGTCCGGATACGACGATCAAGAGAATAATAATGGTGAATGATAATAGTGGGTCTCGGCGCGGGGGGGAGGGGTGTACAGCGCGAACGAGTCCAGCGTCAAGGTCGACGGGGCGCAATCAGCGTGTGAAGCTGTTTGCGGGACGACGCGCGCCGACGAGATAAACAAACAAATGCGCGCCACCGACACCATCTAGCGGTCGCTGGACGCCGTGGCACGTTCGCGGCACGAGGCTGACCCCTTTGCCAACTGCGTGGCCGCGACAACAATAACGTCCTCGTCGACTCCTCCGAATAATAATAATAATAATAAATATATTCATATATTCTACATTGCCGCACACCGGTTTTTTTTTCTTCGTTATCAACCCGAGTGCATCTCGTTTTGAATAATATTATAATTTAAGAAGCGCACGACAACAGGTTGTACCGGCCCAAGAATGTTCAGCGTTATACTGTGTGTGTGTGTATGTATATTTCTCGTTCTTCTCGGCGCTGCAGTACCCGATATCTCGCGTACAAAGCATATTATGCGTTTTTTACGACGACGTTCGATGTCACAACACGCCCAACCCGAAAACGTTGTATAATAATAATAAATAATTAAAATTTATAGAGACCTCGATTGCTCGTATATTGTTGTAGCTTTAGTTAGGTTGTACCTACTGGAAGAACTACAAGTACTTAGTAAAATTCGTTGTAATCGGCAGATACAGTTGAAAATTAAAAATTGCACTAAAAAAATAACAAATTGTGGCTAGCCAAAAAAAATCGTCAACAAACAACCTACCTATCTAACAGCATCGCAGAGGTACTCTAAAGTCTAAAGAGTTGGATTCCAAAGTGAAATTGCTGTACAAGCCGTACAAGCCTACTTCTAAATAATACCTATGAATCATAGACATTATATACTACAGGACATTATTTATGATTTTGGCGCCCTTGACTTTTCTTATGATTAGATCTATATTAGTATTTAATTTAGTATTTAGATAAGAAACTAATCATTTAAAAATGTTCAAAAAGTGAAAACTGCCGGAAAAAATCAAAAAAATGACCTCCTTAAAGTACCACCCCAAAACAACTTTCAGAAGTTTGGATTGGAGGAGAGTGGTGGTGCACTATAAATACACCGTGTGCCCTACCTCCACACAAATGATACTCCACTACTCTTCTCCAAACTAAACTTAAAAATGAAATATCTCGTCAACGGATTGACGGAAATCAAAAACTTAAACACCAACATTTATGTTTATTTATTTATTCAAATATACGGACAGATAGTCCTATTACAAATTAATAAAATCTAAGTGCTAAAAAGTTGTGCATCAAAAATACAATTAACATAGAATATATAAAAGTCTACAATTAAAATAAAAAAGAAAGTTAAAGATAAATACTACTAAGTATAATCAAAAATAAATTTATTACCTGCAGTCATTAAAAGATTATCCGGTGAGCTGAGAATATAACGAATTAATAATCCATCTATTTATATAATTTTTAATATAAGTTGCCAATTAAAAATCAAAAGTGGATAGTAGTTTTACCCTCAAAAACACTATTGGGGGCCGAATTTTCTTGTCACATAACCAACACTCTTCAGATTGATAATGTGACACACAAATGTGAGAAAAACTTGTCTGGTTTAATCATTAACACATGCAGTTGTACGTATCATACGAGTACAGTCAAATCTATTCTTCCATTATAACCCGAAACGAGTGCTGTCCGTTGGAAATTTAGAATACAACATTTTTTTTTTCTACAATATTTACAACCGAATTAACCACGTGGTAAAGTAACGTAGAAATAAAAAAATAAATAAATGCAATATTTGTATTTTATAAGTACGAAATTCACGGGTGAGCCACCCTTTAGGTGTCGAATTCCGAGATGAAAAGTAAACAGCAATCTTCCCCTCTTGTTTTTAATGTCAATAAGTGTACAAAGTTTCATCAAGAGCGCAATAAAACTATACATTTGTGTTAAGAACAAAACAATAAGACTGTCGATTTTAAATATAAATAAGATTGCTACAAATAGTTATATTTAATATAACTCGCATAACACGTCAAACACTAAACGAAATGTTCGCTATCCGAATAAAAATAAAATGTCACTCTAACAGGGGTTAAATTGAGATGGAATTCAAGGGTACATACCTAATTGGAACTCTTGACTATGCGTATTACATAAAATGCGCCCTATTTAGCATAATCTTCAAAAGACGCGCAGATACACAGAATCAAAAAAAAACCTCGAGTGAATCTCACTTAGGTATACCATTTTGTATGGAAATGTGGTAATGATTAATTATTTCCCTATCTACCAAATTTTCTTAAATATATATTAGGGTGGTTT